ATGGGTATGTATTTTGGTATTTTTTATGCTTTCTGATTGCCTCCAGGTAGATGTGATCAGGAAATGGGCTTCCCTTTTCACTCTTCTTCCTGAGAAGTGTCCAAGATACCACTGTTGGTCATTTTGACGTAATTTAGGATTTAATTTTTGGCCTATTTCCTTTTTTTGTCTGCTTGTCCTGCTCCACAATCCCCGTTCAGGCCTTTTTTCTAGTTGGAAACAGTTCAGGGCCAGCTGTGGCCGTTTGGTTTTAATTGGAAACTATCTCGTTAAATTTCGAGGAGATCTGTGCTCATGTGTAGTAGAACCCTCCGAGGGTGGGGCTGGGGTGCCCACTAGCTCAGGCTCCCCTATAGTCAGAATGGAGGTACGCAGATAGCAAGGGACCAATGAACAGCTACCAAAAGAAAAGAATGTCCACACCTTTACCTCAGCGGTTCTGCCAGGTGTCTGTGGTCACTCCAATCCTTCCCCTGCGTGGTCTCACCCAAAATGGCAGCTACTGGAGCAGCTGAGCGTCCCAGACTAGAAAGCAATAGATTTCTTGCTTCTGCCACAGATTCCCCCAGCTGTAAGCCTTCCAACCTTCTAAATATTCATTTATTTGTGGTTCAGAGTTCTGGGACCATCCCCTGAGCCTGCTTCTCGGGTATTCTGTGTTGTTGTTGGCGGAGCTCCTTTACTGCACTTCCACCCAATCCGCCATCTTGTTTATTCTCCTGTATAGGGTTTCTGAAGAGAACCACCGACCTTGTGGTTCAAACTGACCTTGAGGTCCAGTGTGACTCTCTCTCTCTTTTTAAAAAAAAAAAATATATATATATATATATTATTGTTACATGCTGTTGAGTCAGTTTGGACTCATAGGGACCCTGTATAGTGTTTCTAAGAAGTGCTTGATGAATTTGAAATTCTGACCTTGCGGTTCAAATCAACCTTATCCTACAGAACCACAAGGTCAGTTTGAATCACAAGGTCAGCAGTTCAAACTCACCAGGCATTCCTTGGAAACCCCATTCTGGTTGCTATAAATGGGAACCGACTTGCTGGCATTTAACAACAACATATATATCTATTTAGTGTGTGTGTGTGTGTGTGTGTGTGTGTGTGTGTGTGTGTGTGTGCAGAGTTTGCCAGTACACCAGTGAATCCCCTTCTGGGATACCGTAGTAGCTGAGGAGGGACCTCCTTTCCCATCTGTTGAGCAGGGATTTCTAGAATTAAGCACACAAGTGTCCAGCTTTGAGAGAGTACTGGCTTTGTAGGGACCAAGGCCGAGCAATTGTTGGGAGTTGAGTGCCCTTAAACCCTGATGTCACACATGGGCCTGCACCAGAATCCCCTTGTTGTTGTTGTTAAGTGTCATCAAGTTGATTCCGACCCATAGAATCCCCTAGGAGGCTTATTAAACAAGAATGCTGCCCACACCCCCGGAGTTCTGCTACAGTCCAAGGATTTGCACTTCTAACACGTTCCTAAGAGATGCTGCCACTGGTCTAAGGACCACACTTTGAGAACCACTGGTCAAGAACCAGAGGCTAAGTCAGGATTCTGGGAATATGTGATATGGGAGAGAGGGGCCAGAGGGTTGCGTCTTAGAACAAAGTGTAAGGGAGTGAAAGAGGCCGACCCAGAGAAGGGTAGCCAAGATTTGGAGGCAAGGCAAGCTTAGCTTTGGCCTGATCCACAAGGGGGCGCTGGAACGTAAATTGCATCGAAGTCGTTCTCCTGGAAGGCTGGGAGCCTGGGCTTTGCTACCTCCGCGTCAGTCTGTCTTGGCAGTGGCCGGTCCTGGAGGAGAAGCATGGCGTCCCAGGGAAGGCATCTTTCCTCAGTGGAGGTCAGTTCTTCAGAGAATAGGGTGGCTGTGAGCCAATAACAGCCAAGGTTACCTAGCTGAGGTAATGAGTGCACTGGCTGGGTAAGGGTGTCTTCTAGCATCTACCGGGGTCACCATCCTTAGTCTCCCTTGCCCCTTTAGATCTGTACCGTGCCAACCCCCACAGTGAGTGGGTCATTAAACAGAGCCCCACCTAAGTCAGGACTCCAGGGAGCAGGCCGGGAATGCCACATCTTCCTCCCTCAACGCCGAGAACAGGGGCCTTGACAAAGCTTCCTGGGCTTCTAGCAATGTGGAATCACCTTCAGTGACTGAAGACGCCCAGAGGTCGGCTATGTGTAGATACCAGATCAAGCAGGGAGGAGTTGCTGGCCCAGAGTGGTAGCAAAGCTATTTGAGAGCAAGGTCTGGAACCTCCAAGGCCTCCTTCTTTCTAACCTGTCTTTCAGACCCCACAAAAGAAACAGAACTGGGCTGGCTCCACCCCTTAACTCCCAGGCACAAAATGCCCCCTTTTCCATCCACTCCACTGCTTGGTGTACTTGGATCTCCAAAGATTTTTCTCCATGATTCCCAGCCCCAAAGAGAACTTGAAAATGCAGCACCTTTATCAAGGGAAAGTTTCCCCACCCCTCCCTGGAAAAACTGCTTTGACTGGGGCCCCCCACAGTACAGTAGAACAGCACTGGTGAAGAGCAGGGGAGCTCTGGGACCTTGGACAAGAGCAGCTCTGAGGAGGAGGAAGGTGGTATGGCTATGAATAGCCTGGGAGAGCTGAAAGAGGTAGACCCTTACATCCCACAAGCTTTAAATGTTGCTTTGTATGATCTTGTCATTTTTTCAGTATATTTAAGTTCTTTTTTAAAGTAGGAGTTCAATGCACTGCTGCTTCTTGTAAGTTTTTTTCTTTTCCTTCTTCTCAGTCCACCTGACAGGGGTGCTGTCCTTCCAGTGAGTCAACGTAGGGTTTAGTGATAGAAAATCTTGCCATGCTGCTTCACAAGCTCTGAGCACACTTTGAACCTACAATCAACCAGAGGAGCCAGGAAGGGAAGTCAGAATGGGGAGGGTTGGAGTAGTGACATCAGATGCCGTTTATCAGGAAGGGGGATAGTGGCCTGGACAGCCTCTCCCCACCCTTCTCATCTCCCGTGGTCTCAGTCTTTCTCTTTTCTACTTTTCCTTGCCCTTGCTGTCTCCCCAGGACAGGTAAAGCCTCAGCATACATTCATTCAGTCACTTAACAATGAATTTCTAGAGCATTTCTTATATGCTAAGAACATTATCAATGCAATCTTCACCTTAATCCAGTGTCTCATTTGGGTTCTCTGAAAGTAGAGCCTGAGGCAAATATTCAAGTGCAATTAGTGACCCCAGGGGACCCGAGAGAGCTGGAAGGTGAGGTAGAGGAGGGAAGGTGGAAAAGGTGTAGCAGGAGGCAGCTGATAAAAGGAGGCTTGTCAAGCAAGTCAGCACTGTGGACACCTGGAGTTCAATTCTGAGAAACGATGTGGAACATGTTCATAAGAGTTATTCCACCCAAGGGGAGGGAACTGGGGCATTTCTTCACCAACTTCCAGTTTTACTGAGCCTGTCCTTGTAGCTAGAAAAAAGCCTCAGGTAAAGATAGATGGATCCTGGGAACTCAGAGTTGGCCACTGTACACTGAAAAGATCAGTGCTGATAAGATCTGGATGGGGTTTGAAAGTATCTGTGAGGTGATGATGGTGATGATGATGATGGTGGTGGTGGTGATGGTGATGGTGGTTATGGTGATGATGGTGATGATAGTGATGGTGGTGATGGTGATGATGATGGTGGTGATGGTGGTTATGGTGATGATAATGGTGATGACAGTGATGGTGGTGATGGTGATGATAATGGTGATGACAGTGATGGTGGTGATGACAATGATGATGGTGATGATAATGGTGATGATGGTGATGGTAGTGATGGTGGTGATGGTGGTTATGGTGATGATAATGGTGATGACAGTGATGGTGGTGATGGTGATGATGGTGATGATAGTGATGGTGGTGATGGTGATGATGATGGTGGTGATGGTGATGATAATGGTGATGACAGTGATGGTGGTTATGGTGATGATGGTGATGGTGGTTATGGTGATGATAATGGTGATGACAGTGATGAC